TTAGTCTCAATCGGGTTGTTTTTCATGACCAGATGTTTCGTCTTTGTGCTCTGATAGTAAATGTGGAGCATGAGTTTGTCAGACTTGTCCTTGCATTCTACGTTTTTCGTAATGATGTGTTTAAGTATCCGCTCGTCTTTCTCATATTCTGTGTTCATGAAGTTGCGGTAATATAGGTGGTGTGATGTGCCCTGCAACTCCTGCATGTTTGTGTCGTTGTATTTTGTGTCAAGTTGTCGTTGGATTTCTGAGTCTATGTCTCCATTGCTGTAACCATTGTTAACTAGGAGCTGTTTGAGGCGCATAAACTCTTCGTGCATGCTCTTGTTGGTGGAGCAAGTACGGATTGCCCTTTTGACAAATGCTCGGATCACACTGGTCTTGTACCTACTCGGGCATTCGCTGTTAGCGTTAAGTGTTTGGCCTGTGTTGGTGGGTTTGCGGTACACACTTGTGTGATACTGGTTTGCACCTCTTTCTACTAGCACGTCAAGGAAGGGCAAAACATCGTCGCGACTTAATTCGTAAGTGAAGGTCAGTACGGAGTTCGATTCGAATTCGTTCACAAGTTTCAGCAAATGCTCACGGTCGTTTACATCCACAAAACAGTCGTCTACATATCGCACGTAAGTGCTCGGGGCGATGTCGGGGTCGCTGAGGACATGATTTTCGACGTGCGCCATGTAAAAGTTGGCAAAGAGGGGTCCCAAGGGTGACCCCATGGCCACGCCTTCCTTTTGGACATACAGTTGTCCATCTGGTCCCCTGAATGGTGCATCTTTAGTACATGCTTTGAGGAGTCTTTCAAGGATATTTCTAGACAAGTTTAGAGCAGGAAGGCCATTGCTACGTTTCTCATACACTTCATCTAAGATAATATCGATCGTTTCGTTGATTGGAACATTCGTGAACAAAGATTCGACGTCGATGGATGCAAGAATCCCACCTGCCTCTGGCTGTTTCGCACGAAGGATATCTAAAAACTCATCGGCAGAATTGATGCAAAATTTGGCAGGTATGTATGGTTTTAACAGCTGATTGAGTCTCTTGGCTAGCTTATATGTGGACGTGCTCACCTGTGATATGAGGGGCCTCAGAGGGTTGCCGTTCTTGTGTGTTTTTACCGTGCCGTAAAGGTATCCTGGGGTAAATTCACCGACAATAGTTTGAAAATGGACACCATCAATCACTGCGTTGGCACTTTTAATGTCACGATTGACCTTTGCTTTCAGTTTCTTGGTAGGGTCTTCTTTTATCTTTTGGAACTTGGTTGTATCAGAAAGAATACCACTTAGCTTGCGAAGGTACTCTTCCTTATCGAGTATCACGAAAATTGGAGACTTGTCGGCTCTTCTGATGATGATCTTATCGTTGTCTCTTAACTGCTTTGCGGCTTCCTTCAGTTCTTTCGTTAGTAGCTTGCTGTTCGAGTTGCCTCTCAGTTTGTTGCCTTCTCCTATGAGTTCGCCCTTCAGATCACCCTTGATTACGACTTTCTCATTCTTTTCAAGCTGAAGAATGTCCTGGTATAAAACTTCTAGTTCAGTTTTCTTGTCGATTCCTTTCCTTTTTGACTGAATGTGACAGTTCAGGCCCAAATTAAGGAAATTATGCTGTTCATTCGTCAGTTCAATTGATGACAAATTGACGTACCCTTGTTTTTGTAGCGGTAAGTTGAAAGTGCCCCCATAGATATTCGACAGTTTCTTTGCTATCTTAGCCTTATTTGCATGGTTACAGTTTTCAGCTTTCTCATCTAGACATTTCAGTAACTCTTCTTTGATGCTGGCTTCTAAGTTTCTGTTGTTTAGTTCAGTATATAAGTTGCTTAACTTGTCTTGTATTTGAGAGCGGAGAGATTCCTTTTTCCTCAATTGCTCTTCGACAAGTTTCTTTCTAAAGTCTTTCGTAAATGCTTCGTTCTTGGCTGCCGGGTCGTGTAATCTTATGTTTGTAAACTTCGGCAATAAATCTTCTTTTAGACAAAGACCATTAAACGTAATAGCACTTTCACATTTCGAAAGCTTTGTTTGTGTTTTTATGATCTTATTGACTATTTTCTTGCTGTTTTCGTCAATACGATGTATCAGATCGGCAAAGTTCATGTAAAAATATTCGTTAAAGTTCGACGCGTTTCGAATGTATTATACATTCATTTTCAAGTACACTGTGAGACACTCGTTCAAATAATGCGTACATGGACACGTTTGAAAAACAATATACAGGTCACGAGTAAAATCATAAATAACACTTTCAGTTTCAGCGCGCTATACTACAACAGTAAATATGATCACGTCACACATAGCGCTAGTCGGGTTGGGTAGCTTGTGTTGGTGTTGTTCTGCGTGTTTGTGGGTGTGATGTGTGCTGCATTGTACCCCAGAGAGCCAGTTTTTCTATTACGTTTAATGGTCTTTGTCTAAAAGAAGATTTATTGCCGAAGTTTACAAACATAAGATTACACGACCCGGCAGCCAAGAACGAAGCATTTACGAAAGACTTTAGAAAGAAACTTGTCGAAGAGCAAGTGAGGAAAAAGGAATCTCTCCGCTCTCAAATACAAGACAAGTTAAGCAACTTATATACTGAACTAAACAACAGAAACTTAGAAGCCAGCATCAAAGAAGAGTTACTGAAATGTCTAGATGAGAAAGCTGAAAACTGTAACCATGCAAATAAGGCTAAGATAGCAAAGAAACTGTCGAATATCTATGGGGGCACTTTCAACTTACCGCTACAAAAACAAGGGTACGTCAATTTGTCATCAATTGAACTGACGAATGAACAGCATAATTTCCTTAATTTGGGCCTGAACTGTCACATTCAGTCAAAAAGGAAAGGAATCGACAAGAAAACTGAACTAGAAGTTTTATACCAGGACATTCTTCAGCTTGAAAAGAATGAGAAAGTCGTAATCAAGGGTGATCTGAAGGGCGAACTCATAGGAGAAGGCAACAAACTGAGAGGCAACTCGAACAGCAAGCTACTAACGAAAGAACTGAAGGAAGCCGCAAAGCAGTTAAGAGACAACGATAAGATCATCATCAGAAGAGCCGACAAGTCTCCAATTTTCGTGATACTCGATAAGGAAGAGTACCTTCGCAAGCTAAGTGGTATTCTTTCTGATACAACCAAGTTCCAAAAGATAAAAGAAGACCCTACCAAGAAACTGAAAGCAAAGGTCAATCGTGACATTAAAAGTGCCAACGCAGTGATTGATGGTGTCCATTTTCAAACTATTGTCGGTGAATTTACCCCAGGATACCTTTACGGCACGGTAAAAACACACAAGAACGGCAACCCTCTGAGGCCCATCATATCACAGGTGAGCACGTCCACATATAAGCTAGCCAAGAGACTCAATCAGCTGTTAAAACCATACATACCTGCCAAATTTTGCATCAATTCTGCCGATGAGTTTTTAGATATCCTTCGTGCGAAACAGCCAGAGGCAGGTGGGATTCTTGCATCCATCGACGTCGAATCTTTGTTCACGAATGTTCCAATCAACGAAACGATCGATATTATCTTAGATGAAGTGTATGAGAAACGTAGCAATGGCCTTCCTGCTCTAAACTTGTCTAGAAATATCCTTGAAAGACTCCTCAAAGCATGTACTAAAGATGCACCATTCAGGGGACCAGATGGACAACTGTATGTCCAAAAGGAAGGCGTGGCCATGGGGTCACCCTTGGGACCCCTCTTTGCCAACTTTTACATGGCGCACGTCGAAAATCATGTCCTCAGCGACCCCGACATCGCCCCGAGCACTTACGTGCGATATGTAGACGACTGTTTTGTGGATGTAAACGACCGTGAGCATTTGCTGAAACTTGTGAACGAATTCGAATCGAACTCCGTACTGACCTTCACTTACGAATTAAGTCGCGACGATGTTTTGCCCTTCCTTGACGTGCTAGTAGAAAGAGGTGCAAACCAGTATCACACAAGTGTGTACCGCAAACCCACCAACACAGGCCAAACACTTAACGCTAACAGCGAATGCCCGAGTAGGTACAAGACCAGTGTGATCCGAGCATTTGTCAAAAGGGCAATCCGTACTTGCTCCACCAACAAGAGCATGCACGAAGAGTTTATGCGCCTCAAACAGCTCCTAGTTAACAATGGTTACAGCAATGGAGACATAGACTCAGAAATCCAACGACAACTTGACACAAAATACAACGACACAAACATGCAGGAGTTGCAGGGCACATCACACCACCTATATTACCGCAACTTCATGAACACAGAATATGAGAAAGACGAGCGGATACTTAAACACATCATTACGAAAAACGTAGAATGCAAGGACAAGTCTGACAAACTCATGCTCCACATTTACTATCAGAGCACAAAGACGAAACATCTGGTCATGAAAAACAACCCGATTGAGACTAAGCGGCTCATGCGTACCAACGTAGTGTACCAATTTGACTGTCCCTCTGAAGATTGCAGGCTTCAGAACATCAGCTACGTTGGATACACATGCACCACTTTGTCTCGTCGTCTGACCATGCACAAACAGGAGGGAGCAATCAAGACACACATGCTGGAGAAACACAACATTAGACTGACAAGAGAACACCTGGTAGAAAACACGTCGATCATCCACTCCAACCGTGACCCCAGACGCGTAGAGATCACAGAGGCCATACACATCAGAGACCACACACCAAGCATCAATGAACAGAAAAACGCACGCCTAGAAAAACTGGCTCTCTGGGGTACAATGCAGCACACATCACACCCACAAACACGCAGAACAACACCAACACAAGCTACCCAACCCGACTAGCGCTATGTGTGACGTGATCATATTTACTGTTGTAGTATAGCGCGCTGAAACTGAAAGTGTTATTTATGATTTTACTCGTGACCTGTATATTGTTTTTCAAACGTGTCCATGTACGCATTATTTGAACGAGTGTCTCACAGTGTACTTGAAAATGAATGTATAATACATTCGAAACGCGTCGAACTTTAACGAATATTTTTACATGAACTTTGCCGATCTGATACATCGTATTGACGAAAACAGCAAGAAAATAGTCAATAAGATCATAAAAACACAAACAAAGCTTTCGAAATGTGAAAGTGCTATTACGTTTAATGGTCTTTGTCTAAAAGAAGATTTATTGCCGAAGTTTACAAACATAAGATTACACGACCCGGCAGCCAAGAACGAAGCATTTACGAAAGACTTTAGAAAGAAACTTGTCGAAGAGCAATTGAGGAAAAAGGAATCTCTCCGCTCTCAAATACAAGACAAGTTAAGCAACTTATATACTGAACTAAACAACAGAAACTTAGAAGCCAGCATCAAAGAAGAGTTACTGAAATGTCTAGATGAGAAAGCTGAAAACTGTAACCATGCAAATAAGGCTAAGATAGCAAAGAAACTGTCGAATATCTATGGGGGCACTTTCAACTTACCGCTACAAAAACAAGGGTACGTCAATTTGTCATCAATTGAACTGACGAATGAACAGCATAATTTCCTTAATTTGGGCCTGAACTGTCACATTCAGTCAAAAAGGAAAGGAATCGACAAGAAAACTGAACTAGAAGTTTTATACCAGGACATTCTTCAGCTTGAAAAGAATGAGAAAGTCGTAATCAAGGGTGATCTGAAGGGCGAACTCATAGGAGAAGGCAACAAACTGAGAGGCAACTCGAACAGCAAGCTACTAACGAAAGAACTGAAGGAAGCCGCAAAGCAGTTAAGAGACAACGATAAGATCATCATCAGAAGAGCCGACAAGTCTCCAATTTTCGTGATACTCGATAAGGAAGAGTACCTTCGCAAGCTAAGTGGTATTCTTTCTGATACAACCAAGTTCCAAAAGATAAAAGAAGACCCTACCAAGAAACTGAAAGCAAAGGTCAATCGTGACATTAAAAGTGCCAACGCAGTGATTGATGGTGTCCATTTTCAAACTATTGTCGGTGAATTTACCCCAGGATACCTTTACGGCACGGTAAAAACACACAAGAACGGCAACCCTCTGAGGCCCATCATATCACAGGTGAGCACGTCCACATATAAGCTAGCCAAGAGACTCAATCAGCTGTTAAAACCATACATACCTGCCAAATTTTGCATCAATTCTGCCGATGAGTTTTTAGATATCCTTCGTGCGAAACAGCCAGAGGCAGGTGGGATTCTTGCATCCATCGACGTCGAATCTTTGTTCACGAATGTTCCAATCAACGAAACGATCGATATTATCTTAGATGAAGTGTATGAGAAACGTAGCAATGGCCTTCCTGCTCTAAACTTGTCTAGAAATATCCTTGAAAGACTCCTCAAAGCATGTACTAAAGATGCACCATTCAGGGGACCAGATGGACAACTGTATGTCCAAAAGGAAGGCGTGGCCATGGGGTCACCCTTGGGACCCCTCTTTGCCAACTTTTACATGGCGCACGTCGAAAATCATGTCCTCAGCGACCCCGACATCGCCCCGAGCACTTACGTGCGATATGTAGACGACTGTTTTGTGGATGTAAACGACCGTGAGCATTTGCTGAAACTTGTGAACGAATTCGAATCGAACTCCGTACTGACCTTCACTTACGAATTAAGTCGCGACGATGTTTTGCCCTTCCTTGACGTGCTAGTAGAAAGAGGTGCAAACCAGTATCACACAAGTGTGTACCGCAAACCCACCAACACAGGCCAAACACTTAACGCTAACAGCGAATGCCCGAGTAGGTACAAGACCAGTGTGATCCGAGCATTTGTCAAAAGGGCAATCCGTACTTGCTCCACCAACAAGAGCATGCACGAAGAGTTTATGCGCCTCAAACAGCTCCTAGTTAACAATGGTTACAGCAATGGAGACATAGACTCAGAAATCCAACGACAACTTGACACAAAATGTTAGTTTAATTGTTTACATTCCTGATGTGCTGTATATGTATACGTAAATGTGCACGGTCTTGAGCATGCGCATGTGTCTCTGGTTTCCGCATGTGTTTGGCATGTGCATGTGCATCCCGCGCTATGCATCCCGTGCTATGCCTTACTCATACTGTCTTCATTTACCTTTCAGTTTGTGGTGGGGCTTAAATAAATGCACGCTCAAGAGATATTGATCTTTGTGAATTGAACATTGGTAGCAGAGCGTGGTTACAAGATGGCATCTAGAGATTTCAAAGCCCCACCACCTATGCGTCAAGATTTGCCATATTCAGAGTGGAAGCATGAGATCAAAGTGTGGAAAGCTTTCACTAGCTTGGAGAAGTCCAAGTTGGGACCAGCACTGTTCCTGTCCTTAAGTGGATCTGCCAGAGATGCAGCCCGTGAGGTGTCAATAGAGATTCTGAACAGTGATACTGGACTTGATGCTCTCATAGAGAAGTTGGACGAGTTGTTCTTGAAAGATGAGAACAATGCAGCCTTTGAGGCATATGATGCGTTCGAGAGATATGAGCGACCATCTGGCATGTCTGTGTTTGAGTACATCAACACATTTGAAAGACTGTATCAGAAGGCAAAGCACTACAAGCTGGAGTTGCCTGATGGTGTTCTAGCGTACAGACTCATTCGCAGTGCTAACCTTTCAGATGCACATCAACAGCTAGCAAGGGCAACTCTGCCGTCGCTCACATATGCAAACATGCAAACCCAGCTGAAGAAGATCTTCACAGACAGTAGTTCTCAGGGTGTGCCGTCAGCGAGAGTGGCAGTAAAAGTCGAGCCCGTGGATACAGTCGCAGAACCAGGGCTCGGCCAGGCGGCCGACACTCTCTTCGTTCAGCGAGGCAGAGCACAGAGTGTCGGACGAGGTTTCAACCGAAGAGGACGAAGTGGTGGACCGCGCTTCGCCTCACGACCGCCTCTGCGTGGCAGTGGGACTACCTGGACTTCACGTGGCGGCTCGAGAGATCCTGGATCTGCTGGACAATCCGCCAACCAGCGCACAAGGGCTAGATCTAGGCAGAATCCACGGGATTTAAGGGGTAATGTGACCACCTGTGCAGTGTGCAACTCTTGGTTTCACTGGGCCAGAGATTGCCCCGATCGCGGTGAGGTGTTCGAGGCGTCTGCTTGTGACGATGATAGCCATGACCCCACACAGGACGAGGAGGTATTCGTGACGTTGTTTGCGAGGGATACATGTGAAAGTGGACCAACTGAACGTTCAAAGACGGAGGGACTGCTGGGCGAAACACTAGGCTATGGTATCATCGATAGTGGATGTAGTAAGACCGTGTGTGGTGAGGTGTGGTACAAATGTCACTTGGATGCCATGTCTTCAGATGACGCGGAGCGAGTGGTAGAGGAGCCCAGCAGCACAACGTTTAGATTTGGGGATGGTGAGAAGGTTACTTCTCTAAAGAAAGTAACGTTTCCAGCACTGGTAGCCGGTAAGACGGTGCGCGTGGCTGCTGATGTGGTTCCCTATGAGATACCTTTACTCCTCAGCAAGGAGTCGCTGAAGAAGTGTGATGCGCTGCTAGATTTTTCCCGAGACACGGCGGTACTGTTTGACACTGAGGTCAAGCTATCTGTGACCTCAAATGGCCACTACATAGTACCTGTGGCGAAGTTTCATGTCGGTAGTGTGAGTGCCAGGCAGGACATAGAGCAGGTACTTTTTTGTTCAAAGTTTGAGGGTGCCAACGAGAAGGAGCGCATGCAAATAGCTAGGAAGTTGCATCGTCAGTTCGGTCATCCTAGGAGTGTGAAACTGCAGTCCCTGTGTCTTGATGCTGGCGTCCAGGACAAGGATTTCTTTCGCATGCTTGTCTCAGTGGAGGAAACCTGTGATGTATGTAAGAGGTATAGGAGATGTCTGCCCCGACCAGTGGTTGGTTTTGGGATGGCTCGCGACTTCAATGATGTCGTTGCGCTGGATCTAAAGCAGTGGGGACCTGGAGTATGGTTTTGCCACATGATAGATCTGGCCACGAGGTACAGTGCGTGCGTGGTAGTGAAAAACAAAGACAAGCAAACGATCCTGCGTGCAATCATGACTGAGTGGATAGCTAGGTTCGGGGCACCCGGTCAGTTCTTGTCTGATAATGGAGGTGAGTTCAACAATGAAGAGTTCCGAGAGATGGCCGAGGCGTTCAACATACGCGTGCGGACTACTGCTGCAGAATCCCCTTGGTCGAATGGGATCAATGAGAAGTACAACGGTATCATCGCCAGCACAGTGAAGAAGGTGATGGATGACACTCCATGCTCTCTCGAGGTTGCTCTGGCTTGGGCTGTGTCAGCCAAGAACTCTCTTGAGACTCACCTGGGATTCAGTCCTAATCAGCTTGTGTTTGGGCGAAATCCGAACAACCCGGCGTGTCTCCATGACAAACCTCCGGCTCTGGGACCTCCTTCCGGAAGTGATTTGGTGAGGACACACCTGAACGCCATGCATTCTGCCAGGCAGACGTTCATTCAGAACGAGTCGAGCGAGAAGTTGCAGAGAGCACTTCTTCACCAGGTCCGTCCCAGTGGTGAGAGGTTTTGCTCGGGTGATGTCGTCCTGTACCGACGTCACCAAGATGACAAGTGGCGAGGTCCAGGTGTCGTCATTGGACAGGAAAACAAGCAGATCCTGGTGAAACATGGCGGCGTGTACTACAGGTGTCACACAAGCGCTGTCGTGCGCGACACAAGTGAGCCGCGGGAACTGACAAAGCGAGGCCGGATGTCAACTTCGGATCCGGCTCCAGGGACCCAGAAGTTGGAGAAGATCAGTAGTGCTCCGATCCCGGAGTCTGCTGAAGACTCCGATGATGATGAGCAGAACTCCAGGTCTACTTCGTGTACGGTGTCTGGGGACGCAAGACAACGCCAGTTGGTGACGGTATCACCCACTGGCGGTCTGCAAGATGTCGAAGGCGGCTCTGGTTCGGAACCCGGATCGCTAGCTCAGGCTACCAGAGAGTCCAATGCCATGGACAGTGATGGTGGCTCTGGTCCGGAACCCAGTTCGCCAGCTCATGCCACCGGAGATTCCAGTGTCGTGGTCGGTGGTGGCGTCGTCGTTCGTGACAAACCCTCGATACCTCGCGCTAAGTCGCGCATTACCTATGTTCTTCGTGATTCCTCTGATTGGAAGAGTGCCACAGTCCTGAGTCGTGCTGGGAAAGCCAAAGGGAAGTACAAATCCTTTTTGAATGTTCTTGACGATGGTGATGAAGTTGGCAAATGTGTAGACTGGCGGGATGTTGATGACTGGAAGCCTTTGAATCAAGACGTACTGGTGTGCACCTCGGATGACATCATGGCGGCTAAATTGTGTGAGTTAGAAAACTGGGAAAAGAATGAGGTGTATTCCGCTGTTCCCGATGAAGGACAACACTGTATCAGCTGCCGCTGGGTGATAACTGAAAAAGGTAATCCTGATGGTAGCTCACGCATCAAGGCTCGACTTGTTGCCAGAGGTTTTGAGGAGGACACATCTGGAGTCCAGACTGACTCGCCAACGTGCGGGAAGGAGTCACTAAGGGTGGTGCTCGCCATTGCAGCCTCACAGAGTTGGAGCTGTCATAGTATCGACGTGAAGGCAGCGTTCCTTCAGGGTTCTCCTCTCGAACGCGAGGTGTTCTTGCGCCCGCCTTCTGAGGCTAACGCAGGGTCACATGTGTGGAAAATGAAGACGTGCGTGTATGGCCTGAATGATGCCAGCAGGTACTGGTACCTGCGTGTCAGACGGGAGCTCCTCGCACTGGGAATGGTGGCCAGCAAACTTGATGCGGCGCTTTTCTACTGGAGAGCTGAGGACGGCCTTGAGGGCATCATCACCTGTCATGTGGACGATTTCCTGTGGTGTGGTTCCTCAAGGTTCGAGAAGGAGGTGATCGAGAAGCTGCGGCAGGTCTTCCTCCTGGGTTCTGAGGAATCTGAAATCTTCAAGTACCTTGGGCTGCACATTCACCAGCAGTCTGATAAGGTGATCAAGGTTCACCAGATGCCGCAGGCTGAGGAGCTGCAAGAGCCAAATCTCTCACCAGAGAGGCGAATGCAGAAAGACAGTGAGCTCTCTCCTGCAGAGCTTACCCGCCTCCGTGGCGTGACAGGACAAATCAATTGGCTGGCCACGCAGACAAGACCAGATCTTTCATTTGATGTTTGTGATCTCTCTTGTTCCATTAGGGATCCAAAGGTAGCTGATCTACAAAGGGCTGCTAAGGTAGTTCGAAAGGCTCAGTCGGCGCGGGTTAGTCTGAAATATCCTCATCTGGACTTGTCACAGAGCTCGGTGGTAGTGTACAGCGATGCGAGTTACGGCAATCTTCCAGATGGGTCCTCGCAGGGAGGATACGTTGTGTTCCTTAGAGACAAAAGGGGAAGATGCGCGCCACTTGCCTGGTCTTCAGCAAAGATCAAGCGCATTGTGAGAAGTACGTTGGCTGCAGAGTGCATGGCACTTCAAGATGGTGCTGATGCAGCTGTCCTTTTGGCTGCGCTGATTTCTGAGGCACTGTATGACGGGTCAGGAGACATGAGTGTGATGTGCTACATAGACAGCAGAGGGCTGTACAGGGCACTGTACTCAACCAAGGCGGTGCAGGACAAGAGACTTCGGATTGACATAGCCAGGATTAGGCAGATGCTGGAAGTTGGCGAGGTGACCAGGGTCTGCTGGGTCGACAGTTCTCAGCAGCTGGCAGACAGTCTGACCAAGAGGACGGCATCTTCCAATGCTCTGTTAGACGTGCTGAAGACGGGTATTCTGTGAATCGGGTTAGGTGTCACTATGAGGATGACTACGGTATCGTTGTTGAAGGAGGTGTCGTTGAAGACCTGTTTTGTTGTGACTCGCGTATTGAACAAAAAAGATAAGGGGATGATTGTTAGTTTAATTGTTTACATTCCTGATGTGCTGTATATGTATACGTAAATGTGCACGGTCTTGAGCATGCGCATGTGTCTCTGGTTTCCGCATGTGTTTGGCATGTGCATGTGCATCCCGCGCTATGCATCCCGTGCTATGCCTTACTCATACTGTCTTCATTTACCTTTCAGTTTGTGGTGGGGCTTAAATAAATGCACGCTCAAGAGATATTGATCTTTGTGAATTGAACACAAAATACAACGACACAAACATGCAGGAGTTGCAGGGCACATCACACCACCTATATTACCGCAACTTCATGAACACAGAATATGAGAAAGACGAGCGGATACTTAAACACATCATTACGAAAAACGTAGAATGCAAGGACAAGTCTGACAAACTCATGCTCCACATTTACTATCAGAGCACAAAGACGAAACATCTGGTCATGAAAAACAACCCGATTGAGACTAAGCGGCTCATGCGTACCAACGTAGTGTACCAATTTGACTGTCCCTCTGAAGATTGCAGGCTTCAGAACATCAGCTACGTTGGATACACATGCACCACTTTGTCTCGTCGTCTGACCATGCACAAACAGGAGGGAGCAATCAAGACACACATGCTGGAGAAACACAACATTAGACTGACAAGAGAACACCTGGTAGAAAACACGTCGATCATCCACTCCAACCGTGACCCCAGACGCGTAGAGATCACAGAGGCCATACACATCAGAGACCACACACCAAGCATCAATGAACAGAAAAACGCACGCCTAGAAAAACTGGCTCTCTGGGGTACAATGCAGCACACATCACACCCACAAACACGCAGAACAACACCAACACAAGCTACCCAACCCGACTAGCGCTATGTGTGACGTGATCATATTTACTGTTGTAGTATAGCGCGCTGAAACTGAAAGTGTTATTTATGATTTTACTCGTGACCTGTATATTGTTTTTCAAACGTGTCCATGTACGCATTATTTGAACGAGTGTCTCACAGTGTACTTGAAAATGAATGTATAATACATTCGAAACGCGTCGAACTTTAACGAATATTTTTACATGAACTTTGCCGATCTGATACATCGTATTGACGAAAACAGCAAGAAAATAGTCAATAAGATCATAAAAACACAAACAAAGCTTTCGAAATGTGAAAGTGCTATTACGTTTAATGGTCTTTGTCTAAAAGAAGATTTATTGCCGAAGTTTACAAACATATATATATATATATATATATATATATATATATATATATATATATATATATATATATATATATATATATATATATATATATATATATATATATATATATATATATATATATATATATATATATATATATATATATATATATATATATATATATATATAATGAATATATATATATATATATATAGTGAATAAATATATCCTACTCAATATATATCTAGTGAAAAACTAAGTTTCACCCAAATTCGTTGACACTTGTCCCATTGCACGAACATTTGGGTGCCTGCTGTCACCAGTGACGTCATCATAGTATGTTCATTTTTAAGAAACAATTTCCAGCTACTTACCGTGCACAATTTGAAATCGGTTATTTTTTCGGTAAGAAATTCTTCGCCAGACCCGCCAGACACTGAAGCTGCCAAAACTCACGTGAGAGCTTCGATATTGAACTTTGAGCCAGCGCCCTTTTGAAAAAAAAACGAACTATAGAAACAGCGGAGATCCCAAAAAAGTAAGCAAAAGTAAAAGTCTAATATCTTGAAAACCGGTGAATATTTTTCGGTGAAATTTGGTAGATAAGCGTTTTCGCTCTTTCTGAACCGAGCGACATCACTTTCATGCCAATTCATAAACTTTTTTGAAGGTGGGAGGGTCCCTTTAAAGGGGGACATGTCGAAAACTCAGACAAGAAAAAAAACGCGGGGTAAGACGGACCACCCAGCAGTGCCTGCTATCCATTCATGCTTGGTACAGTTCTAATCTGTACTCGAGTAAGTAGAGTGGTAAAATAACAAAATGAACCTTTATTCTATACTCACATGTTATGGAAGTGCAACTAAAAGCTAGGAACATGTGTGTTGATTGTCGTTTGGCATGAATGCATGCTAGCTGAGCATTTGCAATGGTCCATGTGCAACAAAGACTCCTTCCTGAAGAATTGGCTTAAACATGCGTCAATGCTTTAGAAAAGAATTTTCCATATGATGGGTACAATGGACCACCGCAGGGTAAGATGGACCACAGTGGTCCGTCTTGCCCCAAATCTAAATTCTGTCATTATCACGACGTGTATGATAAATAGCCCAACATTGCGAAACCTTGCCTGTTCTAAAGTTTGACTATAACCAAGCTTAAAACTTTGTTCTTCACCGTAAAGTGCAAAATAGAAACTAATCACGCAATAAAGGCGCCGAAATTGAATCACCCGTAGACCTCTTATATTAGATCGGTTTGACGAAAAACAACACTTTTCTCAGGGGCGTCGCCACGGGTCCCCAACTTGTACGGACATATTCTGTCAGCCGTAATACTCGTCAGATGCGTTAACCCACGCGGACCCAGGGAGGGTGTTTTTCGTCCTCCCCCCCCCCCCCCACATAGGCAATGCATGTAAAATGTGTTTCTATTTTTTCCCCAAAACCACTAGGCATTCGGGGGCTATCGCAACTATTCGTCCGAGGTGTGCGTTAGGCGGCACGGGCGGACAACGATAGCAGCGCCTCTATCGGTCACTAGGGAAAGCTGGGCTGTAGGCGACGAAATACCGGCTGAGTTGTCACACGTTGAATAGGTTTATAGACATCCGTCTTGTGAAAAAGTTGAACTTTTGCCTTCAATATTTCTACAGGCAATTTTAGAAGTGTCTTCACATAGATTACAACACCGTTAAGATTATTGTATTCACTTCAAGCCTTCCCTATTGTTCTTGATGATGCGGGAACTATTTCTAATTAGTGTTTCTATTTTAAAAAAGAACATATTGTGCAAACGATGAAAAAAACATAGATGGAAGATTTTAAATGCAATTTTCTCTAGCAATTAATGGTAAATTATCTACAGATCAAGGAAAAGATGCATGCTAACTGATAATTTAAAGTTCTTGGGGCCAGTTGTTTTATATAATACTGAACGAGGCCGGTGTAAATAAATTTTCAAGACCGAGGTCCTTACTGGATTTTTGAACGAGGCCGAAGGCCGAGTTCAAAAATCAGTAAGGACTGAGGTCTTGAAAATTTATCACCGGCCGAGTTTGGTATGTATTTTACTGTATGCCAACGATAAATTTATTTTCTGGACCGAAGCTCTTAGCCGACTTAGGAACGAGACCATCCCAAAATGTTCGCTTAAGTGCATTCTGGTAATGCATTTTTGACCGTGGTCAATTTGCTTACACCAGTTATTACCACACCCCTCTGGCTAATGTATTTGAATAGGCCAGGCATACAGTAATATTCTTTTCTTACGTCGCCCCAATGACC